CCCCACCACACAGCCTGCAAAGTTTTGGGAGGGGGAATCGGGTACAGGCCCACTCCTAAAAGCGGAGCCCCTAAAGCAGCAGGGCGGCCAGGATCGAGCCCCAAGCGGCACACGGGCCCAGCACACCTGAGCGCTGGGCAAGCCCGCAGCACGGGCGTGAGCTGCCCCAGGCATGGGGTGAGGGGGTAAGGTTGCCGAGCCCGCGCTGCGTGTGCCAGGCTGAGGGGAGCCCCCGCAGACCTGCCAACCAGAGCTCCTGCCCAGCCCTGGAAAAAGGGAAAGCAAGGCCATTGTGGTGTCAAGCGTCCCTGGAGCCCCTTGCTGTCACGTGACGGGCGGCACCGATCAATTGCTTCATTTGTTCCTTTTTGGATGGAGGGGGGGTTAAACCTTCTGTTCTCTGTTTGGGATGTCTGGACCCTGATTGCCATAATTGTGACAATAAATCACTTTTGTTTTTTCTGTTCTGTTTCTTTAAGAACTTTTGTTTAAAAAAAAATTTAGTTTTCAACTGTAGGATTCTGAAAAGGTGCTTTAAAGTCAATGCAGGTATGGATCTGAATGCTGATCACCATTCTTATTCTAGATTATCTATACTATTTTGTAACAGCTCATAATCATTAATTTATTTAGTACAATGTAAAATCAACTGATAATTATCTCTTGGGTTTCCAGGAGACTTTCAACCTTGCAAAAACCAATTACAGTACTACCAATGTCTATGAAAATATTTCTCACTCTCAAATCTGGAGACCTATCAAACTGTTGGAATTGAATGTCTTATATTTATGTTTCAGACAGAGGACTTGAAAACACTTTTAAGACACATGGAACATTGGGCTCATAGGCTGTTTCCTAAACTGCAATTTGATGATTTCATTGAGAGAGTAGAGTTGTTGGGAAATAAAAAGGAAGTTCAGGTGAGTACTACTCATGTACTTTTATTTTGTTACAAATTCTGTGTTGTGTAGGGGGCAGAGTTTGGGAGGGTAGTATGCAACAACGGAAGGTATGTTAAATAAATAAATGCACTTGTACATTTAATTGAAGTAAGTATCAGCCAGTGTTGAATAAATTATTTAAGAGTGCATTATACATTACCTTTCATTCGAAGCACACTGTCAGAGAAACTGCAGTAACTTGTAGGTGCTAAGGATATTAAATTAGTCCTGGGAGCTAACCCCGCTATGGCTCTGCCTTTTTAAATGTAGTAAGAACCAGGCGACTCTTACAATATTTAAAAAGGAGAGTCGCAGTGGGGGAATGGGTGCAACCAGGGACTCAGCTGTCCCAGCTCGTGCCTGATCCCCCGCTGCACCTCTGCTTCCCCTGTCCCCTTTCGTCTGCAGAGACGGTGCTGGGGGAACTGGCTTTTAACTTGGCCCCACCCTTCTTGCTGCCTTGGCAGCAAGGGGGTGGGAAGAAGTGACTTGATTATTCGCATACATCCCTAGTGCATCTTTTATTACCAACGCTATTTTTGAAGTTCTGGAATTTATTTTTATATTTATATCTGCAGCAGAGTGTTTAGTTGGTGTTTCCTGCATTGATAATGGGAAGATGAGGAACCAGGAAAACAATATTCTAATATACCAAAGTTTCAGCCCAAACAGAAATGTAAGGAATAAGACGAATTCTAAAGAACTGTGAAGAAAGGCACAGATTCCTGGGTGGCTAAAAGCGGGGCAGCAGCAGCAGTTTAAACACATTACCACCACCTGCAAAGAGAGAGATCTCACAGGTGAAAAATAACATCGTCATAAGACCTGATCCAGGGGACTAGGGTAGGGATGTAAAATTTTAATTAATTGACTAACCAGTTAGCCAATGTAATTTGCATCGACTATTTGATTAGTCGATAAGGGTGCCTCTGCCTTTGAAGTGTAGCAAAAGCCCTAGGGCTGTTCATACTCAGACTTTAAGGTCAGAAGGGACCACCATGATCATCTAGTCTGACCCCCTGCACAATGCAGGCCACAGAATCTCTCCCACCCACTCCCAGAATAATCCTCTCACCTGTATCTCAGATATTGAAGTCTTCAAACGATGGTTTAAAGACCCCAAGATACAGAGAATCCTACAGCAAGTGATCTGTGCCCCATGCTACAGAGGAAGGCGAAAAACCTCCAGGGCCTGTTGCTACACTTCAAAGGCAAAAGAGCAGCAGAGAGCACGGGGCCAGTGGGGGACTCAAGCAGTCCCCTCCTGGTCCGTGCTCCCCACGGTGTTTCATAGAGCCCATGGTCAGCTGAGACCTCAGCTGATCCCAGGCTCCATGCGGCACTGCCGCTTTGAAATGCTGCAGTGAGCCTGGCATCAGGCTCTACAGCCGTGGTCACCAACAGGTTGATCGCAAGCTACTGGTCGATCTCGAGGCCTCGACCAGTCGCTCGCGAGGCGTTCTGTCCGCCCCGCCCCCGTTTCCCTCCCACCCCCCAGAAGCCCCACTACTTACCTCAAGAGGTAGTGTCGGCTTCAGAAGTCCCACGGCTTAGCGCCACTTCCCGCAATGCCAGAAGTGCGCTAGCTGG